CACACATTGAATTTCCAATCGGATGAATCTACGGCTCGAGCCTGCGAGATATCAATCCTCGATCGCGTGGCATCGGCAATAATCACCAGCAACCAATATCAATCCGATCGAGTTTCTTTTTTCAAGCAATTCATTCCGCCGTAAGTATGACAAGAAAAATAGAGGAGACCTGTCAGTCAGCCGCGCAGTTGGCCGAAAGACGTCGGCATCAATAAACTTCGCTCGGCACGTTATTAGTAACAATTTCACTGCAAACACACACCCGAGGTCCGTGCAGCGGCTAATCGAGTGTATATTAGGAGTCGTTGGGCTGTGCGCTCGTTTAGTATATCGCGAATAAAATCAATCGAGCGGGGGGACAATGATAGGCGAAGGTCGACACCCGCACGTTTCCCCGCCCGGTAGTCATACCAACGATACATCAACGATAAAAAAACATGTAGTATGTGCTCTCTGCTTCGGAAAACATGGGGGAAACAATACACACGCGATGGCCAATTCGTGCGTTATCGCTGCGTGACGACACACGGTTGTTGTTGATCAGGATTTTTTTTTCGTACCTACTACTAAGTATAGTAGAACAAACAAAACTAGATAATAACTACGTGCCTCTGGTTTTCATCACAATTTTTGTACGTATGTACTGTGTCAAGGAGGAAAATCCAGCTGTGGGTTCCAGGATTCACGAATCTGTATAGTTTGTTGGTTCACGAGTCTTATGACCCGCACCTACATATTATATTACGTTAGTGGATTAACCAAAATCGGGGAGAGGGGGGTCTAAAATACTGAGGGTAAATAAACAATGGTTTATATCGAGCATGAAAAAAAAGGTTAATGAAAGTGCAAAGCAGAAAGTGCTTGTGTGTGCATAAAATTACTGGTTACTGTTATGAACTTTCGTCAAAGTCAGCGTCGTTGCCGCAATATGATGAATATTTTTATATTTTATGTGCATTAAATAGATATTTTAGTTATACATAAAAGTTACGAAGTGCACAGCAACAAATGACTTTTTTTCGTCTATATATTTCTAAACCGTTGAAATAGTGGTTGTTGTTTCGTGGTTTTGCTTCAACAATAAAATAGACTATCAGTTTTTTTAACCCACCCTCCCCTAAAACGGGGACATTCAACGTAAATTTGCCTATCTTAGTACTAATGTGTTCTACTCATCACACCTTTACAATAACATTCATGCGATGGCAGTAGTAATCCTCTATTTTGTGTTTATCTCAACATTCATTCTGGATGGCATCGTACAGATCATCATGTTCTACTCGTTATACACTTTCATTTGAAAGAGTTGTAGAAAAAGAGAGTAATTTGTCTCGATTTCCATATTGGATCTCAAAATTCGAGTAACGAATTGTAAAGTAATCGGTAATTCGACACTTTTTAGTGGCATTTATATTAAATTTACCATAGTACAAAGATGTGTAAAAAAAATATCATGATCGGATGATGGGAAACGGTCGAAAAGTCGATCGTAAGATTTATCCCAAGTAGACAAAAAAACCAAGTTAATTAAAAATTTTTTTTTATGTACAGAGTTTTACTAACAGTGTTTTCCTTTCGTTTGAAAAATTAAAAAAATTTTTGACTCAAAGATGCTCATCACTCGATGAACAGTTCAATTCCCAACCGGAAATAACTTTCGATGCTACACTTTTGCAGTACCAAAGACCGCTTACACTCTCTTCAATTACCTGATGATGTTTTTAGGTCGATGCTACCCAAAAACTGATGAAAAGACACGTACACACACATGCAAACTCTTCCGTGCACTATTTAGTAGCACAACTTTGAAAACGAAGTATCTTTGACGGCGGGAGTAGTGGGCTTTATTTCTTCTTCTTTTTGGCGTGCGGAAAAGAACTGCAAATAAGACGCTTGTAAGTAGCGAGAGTTATTAAGTCACTCGCAAAGTGTCTTCTAAGTAATTGAAAAGTCGTGAATGCAAGAGAAAGGGACCCGCCGAGGCTGTTGGTCTTATGAAAGTGGCTTCGACGAGATGTTCTGTACCATGTACAAGATATAGATATACCCGGTAAGGCTCGCACTTTGGTAACAGTTTATTTAATGGCGTCGAGTTACCAAAACAATTATCGGAGACTATTAATCGATAAATAATTATATGAAAAGACGTGAAAAAAAAAAGCTTTCGCATGACTTTGGCGCAAAATGAAGACCATACCATACCCTTTTTCGATACCACAATACCCCATCAACAAAGAACGGAGAGGAAACATAAAACGGACAGGACCGAAAAGAAGAAACAAGTCACCGCGGTACTTACCATTATGCATTCGCATCTGCAAGCCGAGGAAGAGAGAGGGTCCTCGAGCATATTATACGCGACACGTACACGAACCTACGTACACACCAGCGGTGGTATTCCCTTGGAACCCACGAAGCGGCATCGCGTGTATCATAAACGTCGCGGAGGAGATCCGCGTGACTTGCCCTCCGGGCTCTGTGTGGACTGGCGCGCCGATGACCCGCGCGGAGTTCAAGATACACGTAGGGGTGGGCACTACAAAAAGGAGCACATGAAAAAAAAATAAAAACAAAAACAAAAAACGAACAGACTTGGCGATCGAGGATACGAAAGAGGACACAGATATTGTACCGGTCGATGTGGGACGGAGCAACAGTGAGCTGTGGTTAATAAGTTGTTGGCGATGAATGAACATTTGCTCTGTTTTGTGATGTGGATTTCAAGGTGGTTTTGCATGAACTGCTGATAAGACCTCGAACATCGGAGACCGAGGAATCTTTCAATTTTTTGGAGATCGGTTGGAGCGAGAGTAAAAGGGTATATCAATGACTGTGTGGTCGATCAGGTAGAAATACTAATCGAAACTCTAGACGAAAGCTTTCGTTACTGCCAACACGAGATTCTACCATAAAGATATCATTCGACTATATTGGAATGTGTCACGTTATCCCCGTCTACCTCGAAAAAATTTTTTTTTCTCACACGAAGCTTTCCTCTTCGAGCACGGAGAGTCGTCCAACAGAGCCAGCGAGGAGCAATCGCAACGGACGAAAGGGAAAAAAGGTCGCAAAAAACCTCACATCCAAAATAAAAGGATGAGACGAAGGAGGAGGAGGAGTGGAAAAAATAATAATTAAAAGAGCGTGGTTAAAGACAGCCCCGGGGAGGGACCGGTTTGGCAGCGTCGCGCACCTATATACACACCTTCGTCTCGGCGATCGACACTCCCTCCCACGGCGCGCTTCTCCCCATCTCGTCGTCACGCGTGTTGTTGTTTGCAGCGCCTTCGTAAGACCCTCTCTCGCACCTATACAACACACGCACTCATGTTCGAGTGCGCTGCTCTTGCCCTTGCAACAATTGCAATGCGCGTTTGGGTACGTTAATAACTCACAGCATAATACATGCATCAGCACGTGCGCACGAACGATATCTCTGCTCGCTCTGGGGCGTGACGACGCTCCGTCGATGTTGCTGTACACGGAGCTGCTACGGAGTAACCAGCTTTTGTTCCTTGTGGCGGGCGGATAATCCCGCGGCTGATGCACAACGGGCCTCCCTCGCCAAGGCCGCTAACTTGTCTCTATCCTCCTCTCTCTGTAGGTACTCATGAGTAGGTAGGGCCGTAAGTATGAACATTCCGTGCCATATACATTATTATTATTATATTTTCATAGAGATCTCGTGTATATGTTTCTACATGAGCTTGCGTGCACTTACATAGTAGATGAAGGAGGCGGCTTCGGAATGTGATCATTAAGATTTCAACGGGGCCGCCTTGTCGGGCATGAGTGGGGGGGGGGTGTTATGCACTTTTATTATTATATACAGTACATGGACTACAGAGTGACTGACGTACTGATGCATGAAAGCTTATTTTTTGTTGAGATGCTGACGGGAACAATATAGGTATACGCGTGGTATGACGGAGGTGAGAAAAGTAGACGTGCATAATTGCATATGATGGCTGTGAAAGTGTGAAGCTTGAAGGAGGAGGAGACAAACGCTGAAATTAAGTTTTTTTTCGCGAACGACAGGAACATGCGCACAATTGATGGAAACCAGGCTTATGGCCTATTTGAATTTTGGAAGAATCCCTCCAAGCTCGCTTCATTGAAAGATTTCGGGGTGTGGATCATGCATTTGGATCAAAATTTTTGGAATATTTCTTTACGCCGAAACTAGAAGTAAGTCCCAGTGATAGAGTCTAACGATTTGCTGTCTTGAAGTTATGGCTAAGTGTTTTATACCCAACGACTGTATCTCTGATGTATATGTAATTGAAGCTCCCCAAAGGTTAACAGATTTTAATCAAGTTTCAGGGTAAAGATAAAAAATACACATTTTTCCTAATTTTTTTATGATTAGCTGTAAACGAGAGCTGTAAATAACAATATTTCTAAAGTTTTATCTCAGCTTTCGTTTCCACATCGTTAGGCTACTCTGATATTCCATGTATGTGATTGAGATATGACCGCCTGACATAAATTCGATATGTTGCGATTATTTAATATTTCACTGAAAAAAAAACTTGTTTGTAGTTTTTGAGTATTACAGCGTGTTCTTACTTTTGGAAGCGAATTGCATTTATTTAAAATCCCCGCGGAATCTTATATACACAAAGTACAGACTGTTGGTATAGAGACGGTAAAAGATGTGATAAATAATGAAAAATGAAAATTAATGGCGTGAAAAATATCAATGATTCATTACTTTTTGTGACATTGTTACAGGGTATGCCAATAAAATCATTTGCTGTAATCTTAATGCGAGAAAGTCGCGAAATTCGAGCACAATGTTCGCAAGAGTAGGTTACACCCTACTAATTGTTTGTCAGAGAAATTTGTTAATTACCCATAAATTAGCAGCAATTAATACCATTTAGAATGATTGCCCATCAAAGTCACGAGAAAGGATGCGTTACACACATCCACATAAATACAAAGCAAAGCCTGCCACAGTCGATACTTATATCAAGGGGGTCATCTTATTGTTACAGGAATGGCGACCGCTGCCGGGCTCGAGGTACGAGAATCTGGACGTGCTCTAAGTTTCCACACAGAAACGCCCCATTTGGTATCCACCGGAAGTGGAAGGTTGTCAACTACCGTCACGCTTCACCCGTTGCCCGAAGGTACGTATAACCAAAACTCCCCTGTACCGTACATTGTAATATACTCTAGAAATACGGAGTCGTGCGATTTATTTTGCGCGATAAATAAAAAATCGATCTTACAAAAAACTAAGTTTGCGATGAATACCCGAGGAAAATTTTTAGCCCAGAAAAAGAAAAAGCGTCCCTGATAACCTTTCCGAAAGTTCAACAAAATACTTTTTCAAATGCGTGATTTTTCAGCCATTCGCTTGGATTGAATATAAACCTTTGATCGCTCCGCGAAAGTATAAGCTTTGAAGCTACTCAGTTCAAGCACGTATTCATATGCGTCTGCACTCGCGTTTGCAAAGCAGGTGCTTACTTCGGATTTTTTTTTCATCAAGCAGATCCACTAGAAGTTTTTACATTTCCGCTCTATACAATTCCATGTAGCTCTCTTTCTCTTGACCTGTTTCAGTATACAAAAAGAGATTTGTAGACTGAAACAGAACTTTTGGGAATTTCAAATAACACAATACTTTTCAATTCGTCATTTCAATAGTATAGCTTGACTTGACAAATGCATCAATAATATTGAGAAAAGAAGTGGTAAAATAATCACTTAAGGTAGGAGGAAAGAATGGGGTTGTTGTAAGCCTTTAAAGGAGGAGTTTAATAATATACAGAACCACAAAATAAAAAATTTAGTTGCTGTTAAGTAAACACTCATTTTCTAATTATACTTTAACTAATATTGAAGTTATAATTATCATTAATTCCTTATTATTTTTCGTTTAATACATTAGTAATTTTGGCAAACGCAGCGTCGTCAAAGAGGACTTACTATTGGCCAGGTGCAAGTGATGGGAGGGGATAGATGAGTCAACACCAGCGTGCGTAGTGGCGAAAATAGGAAACTTGGGGTACCAAATTACTGACATTTTTGCTTAATGAAGAAAAGAGTAACAGTATTTCGTCAAATTTACAGATGTTATCATCACGTATGCATAAATAGTAACAATATAATGAAATTGCAGTTGCACAAATGTAAAAAAATGAACTATGTGGTGCCAAGAACGGTTGTAAAATGTTTGAATGTAACAATATATTAATAAAGTCTCGTTAGTTTTTGATGCAGAGCACACTCTCAGAAGCAGACGGCAAAAAGAATAGTATATTGCGTACGAGTTTGCAAAGGCTTCGATTTACGAACCGAGAGGTTTACGGCACGAGCCGAAGGCAAGGGCCGTAACGAGGTTCGTAAAGAAGCCTTTTCGAACGAGTTTCGTATACTATTTTTCCGCCTGAGAACCCAAAATCAAGCGGCGAAGGCGCTATTTTGAGGTTAGAAGGCGGAAAAGATAGTTACGTGAAATAAGACATGATCATTGTGATTTCTATTATTAAAACGTTTATGAAATATGGGTTTAAGAAAGTGCTGTGTTGTTCAGTGTAACAATAGCGCAAAGACAGATAAATTAAAATTACGTGAATTTCGGTGATTATCCAACTGTAAATAAAGGTAATTTTCATGTGCATTGCAACTTAGACAATTTTCAAAATAATCTGAATAAAACGTACATGCAGGTTAACTTTGTAGAGAGCGAAGTTACCGAGGTCTGCCTCATTACAACGGCACTTGTCAAATTGTTAACTCCATCACTTTGAAATTCTGTAACATCGCACACATGACTGCTTTCAACCAACTGTTTACCTTTTTTTAAGGCTTCAGAGTTAAAACAAATCGAGTGTGTGATATTCCTAAAGCCTGTTTTTATGATAACATCCATTATCAGATGACTAAATATACTAATTTTTTGCTAATTAATTGATTATTACTAAAAGTGTGCATCGGTGTATGCTGTTGACGTATAATGTGGGTACCCGTGGTTGATTTTGACACCAAGAGTGGCGCTGCATGACATGCACCTGGCCAATACAGTGCCGTGTTTTCTGGCTTAAAATAATATAATGTTGAGGTAAATGCAGACGTTCGGGATTGACTCATAGGTTCATTGTTATCACGTATATCGTAAAAGAATACGATTTAATTTTTTTTTTTTTTTTAATACAGTGAAATAAAAGAATATAAATATCTTAAATTGTTATTTTGTTTGTCATAAATTAAAATTTTTTTTTTCATTAATAAAACACAGTTACGTAAAGTAGTACAAAAAATTACATTAACAATAAGAAAAACCAAGAAAAATTTTTTTTTTTCATTAACGGCATAAGCAAAATCTCTATTATAATATGTGTCCGGCACTGCGTCCGAATTGAATTGTGATAAGAATTACTTTAAAGGGAGCCATCTGTCATACCTAAATGTTTGTAGTCACAGTTATCCCATTCTTTCCTAGTACTCACGGTACATACATAAAATTCTGTTTAGATGTCGATAGAATTTGAAAAACGAGAAAATTTTTAAGTAAAAAATAACTTAACTATAATTTTATGGAGTACATAAAAAAAATTATAATTAAGTTATTTCTTAACATTTTTAACTTTTACAGAATCCTATCATAAAAGATTGATTACCATGCGGCTAAAGCCTTTTTATTCGCTGTGTGATTGATTGAAAGTTGAAACATATCGAGTAGACTGTTTGGCGGTATTTTTCAAAGATCATTTGCATTTAATTGCTGCGAACATTAATATGGAATCATTTTATCACATAAAAATGATCAAAAGCCTACACCAGTTATTTTCTTTCCATTAAGAATTAATTATTTAGACAAAAAGTTGAATGTGACAAAAATTAAGATGAAAAAAGAAAAAAACAACAAACTGAGATTCGTGTCGTAGCACTTGAATAAGTTGTTTCTCAAACTTGGTCAATATTGAATATTAAATATATTGAAATTTTATCCACGTACTTTTGAGCTGTATAAACAATACCTCGAACAATACTGTACGAAAATATCTACAATTTTTAAAACTTGATCACAGACTTTGATCAATTAAAATTTATTGGTTCTCTCAAATTCAAGTTTTTCCTGGGTAAAATAAAAAAATTGTACTTTTAGCAAAGTTTGCAAATGATTACTTGAAAATAATGAGGATTGGGTTGATATTTTTATCGATACCTATTTCCGTACTGGCAATTAATCACAATTTGATATTTATTATTTGCGAGTGGACGTATCATCGGTAGGGTATACTGTCTTAATTTTTTTCAAGAAACAAAAATATCACGCTCATAGCGTATGAAATGGCAAAAAAATTCACGTTTCGAAATCTACACGCGAAAAAAATCTTTAAAAAATGAGTTACGGTCTCAACAGTATTCCACAACAGCCAAAGTTAAAAACTTTGTAACTCTCATGAAATATTCATTTCCAAAACTTACTTTGCCAACGCGTTTGAGAAAGAAAAGAAAAACGAGACTTGTAAAATCCATCATCCCAACCTAAACACACATACACATAGAAGAAAAAAAAGGGAGAGGGAGAGGGATGAATAATGAAACCCGCACGCTGTGCCTATGTAACAATAATACTACGAAGTAGCCGGCATGACGAAATCGTGCGCTATCTCGACGATTTAATGCCGCGTATCGTGGCGATAAATTCCGAGAGGCGCGCGACGCCCGTTTTATACGCGCGTACGCGTGCATTTTTTCCGGGACGCGAGCGTAGGCAAAAATTGCGCTGCTGCATTACTTGCACGGTCGAGCAAAAGAAAAGGAAAGAGTCGGGTTTAAAATTAATGGAAAGACGCATCGAGCGCATGTACAGAGAAGGAAAGAAAAACAAAGCCGGCCGGCTCTCGCTCCGCATCGTAAATTCACAGTGCTGCGTTGTTGTACATCAGTGCAGACACTGTGCAATGTAAGTATAAATGAGAATTGATACAGTCTAAGCTCTACACGTGATGTATGCATGTATACTAAACTTCGCGAGGCGTGAGCGATCCCATCGAGATGATCTTGCGGGCAATGTACACATGGCGTCATAGTAGTAATCGAGAAAGGCACCAAATGTAGGTCAACTACTAATTATCCGCACGATTACAACAAGTACAATATGTGTAATGGAAGAGCAGCTTGGAGATGTTCGCAATACCGTTACGTGATAACGGACATGACAGCTGAAGACATGTGCAACGAGAGCATGGAATTCTTTTGCAGAGAGGGGGAGTGGATTCCTTGGATCAGCGGTGTTTGATTGGTTAGCAAGGGATGCTAGGCTGAGCTAAACGATGCCGACGACAGTGACGACATCTCTAAAGCTTTCTTGTTGCATTTCGTGTCTGGTTTTTTTTTTTTTTTTTTTTTTTTTTTTTTTTTTTTTTTTTTTTTTTTTTT